CTCTGTAAAAGTGAACAGAAAGTTATCGTTAAAGTTATATAAGGGTTATTTACAAGATATAAAATGTAAAAGTTTTATAACAGTTTGGAAAAACAAAACGTCGCAGTATAACATGAAAGGTCATAATAAAGTTCATAACAAGTTAATTTACAGTTATGTTTTCACCTTCTCCCAGTAATTCCAGACTTGTCTTATTAAACACGTCACTACAGTTGATCAATCCCTCAGGACGAACACTGTCAGAGAGAGTTATAAGAACGTTGTCAAGGCTGTCAGCAAATCGAGCTGTGATTGGACGTGGAGCTTCTGGTGGTTGAATAGTTGTTGTGGTTAACTAGAGTACAGAGAATAAAATAAATTAAATATCACTTAAAAGATGCAACGTATTTCTAGTGACTATATCTTACATACATAATGTGACAAAGTTACGTGATTACCACATATCTTCATCGGGATAACATATTCTCTCCGACATTCACTGTTTTACATCCGCAGCTGTATATCACTGTTCAGTTGTCATAAACTTAAAAACAAAAATCAACTTTCTTTGGAATAACAATATTCCTTTCATGTCGTCCCATAAAAATCAAACATTTTGCAAGTTTTATCCCTAGTAAAATGAATGTCCGTATAGTGCGCGCCGCCTGCACGAATATCACGATGGATCTCGCGCAAAACAAGGGATTCCATCGTCAAAACGTGGGGTTATATTGGAAGACAGGAGAACGTACACTATAATAGAGACATACTAACAAATAAAAAGAAAAGTAGGGAAACTGAAGCGGATATAACACAATAATTATAACTAGTCATCCACAAAATATTATACGTTATTGTTTCATAGACATCAGTACAGCTTACCGACTCTCTTATAGTTATCGTTGATGTTGATAGTTTCTCTGTAGTTTGCTCTACAGTAATAGTGGGTACCTCTGTGGTGGTAGGTTCAGCTGTCGTTGTGGATACCTCTGTGGCGGTAGGTTCAGCTGTCGTTGTGGATATCTCTGTGGCGGAGGTTCAGCTGTCGTTGTGGGTACCTCTGAGGTGGTATGTTCAGCTGTCGTTGTGGGTACCTCTGTGGCGGTAGATTCAGCTCTCGTTGTGGGTACCTCTGTGGTAGTAGGTTCACCAGTCGTTGTGGGTATATCTGTGGTACTAAGTTCAGCTGTTGTTATGGATGCCTCTGTAGTGGTAGGTTCAGCTGTCGTTGTAGGTACCTTTTTGGTAGTATGTTCAACTGTCGTTGTGGGCACCTCTGTGGTGGTAGGTTCACCAGTCGTTGTGGGTATATCTGTGGTACTTGGTTCAGCTGTCGTTATGGGTACCTC